CAGTAAGCAAAGATTACAATTAACATGAGTAAAAAAGTTGGATATTTATTTACCAACAATACGAAGCACCAATTGTGCGCCAACTTCTGAGTGAATAGTGTTTGTGGGTATTTGTGTATGTGTGTGTCTGTGTGTTTGTGCCTGTTGTACTGTGCCACATGCAAACAGCAAAAGTCACCATCCCAAAAATACGGACATTTCTAAAAAGTTCTTTCAATGGCAACCCAATAAAACACGTGAAGAGTTCTTGAAGAATTTGAGGAGATGAAAAAGAAAGTTGAACTAGTAAGAATTCTTGAACCGAATTAGTTGGAACAAAACAAAAGAAAACAAAAAAAATTTCATCACCAATTATCAATTCCAACAACTGATCAGATTAACGTCATTTCTTACTTCTTTTTCACTTTTCTTAGGCAAGAAACAAATGATAATACAAATTCTGAATCCGTCCATTCACTTTGTTTCATCTTTCTTCACTGACGGTAATTTAACCATTCCACCTCTATCTGGTTATATTTGTCCACCGTAACATCAATCAGTTTGATCATCTGCTCAAACTGTTCGTTCTGTTTCAGCATCCGTTTTCAGTACTCCTCAGGAATGTCGGACGTTATTCGTTGATGCTGCAACTTTAGGCGACTGCTACTACTACGGACAAGACTACATCTACTGCTACTTTTTGTGCCAACCGCCGGTGCCGCTGCTACTGGTCTGTAACTGTAAACTGCAGAAGACAGTAAGTAAACAGGTCGTAGTTTTTTTTATCAACAGATATTTTAAAGGTTACGTCAATAGTGCAAAAAGTAAAAAACAAGAGGAGAAGGAAGAGGGAAAAAAACGAAATCAACAGTCAGTTCTTTCACCTGTTGTGCTTTTTTTCTTTCATAGAAAAATCAAAAAATATATACATTATCTATGCAGAATTTTATTGCTACGACAACAACAATAAAAATCCAAATAAGCACAAAGAGAATTGAGTAAATAAGAGAGCTTAGATGTTTCTTAGTTCAGTTGTTAAACAATTGTTTGAAAAAAAAAAAGAATTAGGAATATACGACGATCATGTCACTTATTCAGTTGTCTCTCCCTCTCCCTAGATATCATCAGTGTACAGTTAATATCAAATAAAGTAAACCAGCTACAACTAGTGAGTGTCAAAATTAACACTTTTCAGTTAGTCACCAATAAGTACCCACTATTACTGTAAGGATTGCTGCCGGGTTGTTGTCGATACATCCAGCACAAAACAGATCATATCAACCAAAAATCACGACAAACACAACAGCACAACCTTTTTGCCTATCCTAATCGCCAAATAGAATCAAATGGAATGAAACAAAGAAAGCATGAAAATGTAAAATAAACAACATGAATTCAGAAAAACTATTTGATCAAAAAACAATCGGTCAATTATTACTGCTGTCACTACTCTATTGTAACTGCTGCTACTGCAACTATTACTATTTTCAGCATCAGTTCTGCTGTTACTGGTATCAACAATACCGCCATTTTACAGCCACCATTGACACTGAGACAGCAATGTCAGAATGGCGGTCAATATCAATCCATTTTGAACATAACTGTTGTCTGGTAACGATCTACTTACCACCTCCTGAAAGATTCAAACATCGTTTTCGTAACAGACAGTCCATCAACTTACCAGTCAATCCATCAATCTTTGCAAATTTTTTCCAAAAATGATTTAAATCAAAAAATACTTTTAATAACCTACCCTTCTCGCATTCCCCGATTAAAGGCTACAAATTTTATAAATAAATCACCCAAAAAGCTACAAATTTTCCATTTTTTTTTCTTGCAAAACAACCAGAGCAATGTATGAGCATTATAGAATCACCTGCAATTTGTGGACTCTTAAATCAAAAAATTCGCTAGAAGACTTATAGTTTTCATTAAATTGAACTTCACCATTGTATCAGTTGACGTGTGCTTCATCCTTAGTTTTTAAATGACACTCTGCTGTTAACGGCTATTTACAAAATTGAGCATGCAACATAGAAGAGCTAATTAAAGAAAAAGGATTATCAAAGAATGCAACTACGAGCAATTTTAGAAGTTCCTTTATGACTTTATTTAGAAATGACTTTTTTTTACTTGGGTAAATTCTTCGCTGTTTATAAATTAGCAAGCAAAATTTAAAAAACCACAACAATAATAACAACATTTAATAACGCAAACATTAACAATTTAAAATACTCCTCAACAACTAACAAATAATGAATTACATCTGCCGAAACATTTATTTCTATACTTCTAATAAGGAAATAATTTTATCAATAATTAAAAAACTTCAATAAACTGAACTCTACCAAGCAATGGGAAAAAAAAAGATTCCTTCAGTTAACAAAATAGACAAATACAGTTTTGAACAACCGAACATTTGAATCTTAAAATAAACACGAAATCTATACCTCACTAATTTCAACACGGACACAGGTCGGCAAATAAATGTCTAGCTTTTTATTTGTAACCTCAAATCGTACTCGTTTATTCAGTAAATCATCGGTTACCTCGTATACTTCACCAAATACGGAAAATTTCCGAACCAGTTCGGGCAGTTTATCTAATGCAAAAGTAACGGCATTCGCTTCCAAAACGTGCTCATAAAATTTCATTGGATCTGCTGAAGTCACAGCTTTTCCCATCTTACAACGCTTCCAACCTTCTCGCATAACATCAAAACGATTCATTTTAGAACCTCCGGTCCTAACTACTATTTTACTCGTATCCTTAAGAAACATGTATGTACTGACTAGAAAAAAAACAGTATTTCAGTTTAAAAATAATTTTTAGCACAAAAAATAGGGAACATGACATACAATTGACACTAGGCCATTGGCGACAAAATAAAAAGTATAAAAAATCAAATTTTTTAATTCTTCCAAACTACTCTCAATGTACCTCAATCGTACATACAGTGCAATTAAACTTTCCAATCCCCTAGCACCTTCAAGGGTTTGACTACACAACCTTTAATATTTCAAATTTACCCCCTGTAAATGAAAGTCACTGGCTTTATTTGTTTTTCAGACTCTGAATTTTTATGCTTCTAAAAACGACCTCTGCAGCTTCTGTTCAGTTAACGCATAGCGTAAAAATCAACCACGAATAATACTAGAGGTATAATTTTTGATAATTTTTGGTCATATTGCTTAAAAACTCGCAACCGGTTTCCTAACAGTCTTCAATACAGCCACAAATCCAAAACTTTATAGCATGTACACATCTTGAAAAATTATTTCCTCTAACTGCGTCAGTTCCTGAACTATACCTTTAGTACCAGAACAAGGTGGATAATTAGGAACAGCTGGTGTTCCATCCTGAATAGTCTGTTATGAGTTATAGTTGTACGACAAACCTACATTTAAATAAGCTGTTTCTGCAATCGTATCTGTACCAACTAGGTCCACCGTGTGCAATTTATGACAATTCTCATTTGAAATCTCAGAAAAATCCTGTGGTGGTGTCTCATTGGTCTAAAAATTACAAGGTAAATATAAAAATGGCTGGTGTTCAAGACCTTTACAATCTAGTAAACCGTTAATACATAAAAAGCTAAAGGCACAAAGATACTAAAAATGAACTGGTATAAACCTTATGAACAGGGGACCCAAAGATAAAGTACCACCATTTCCACTGAGGTTTTTCTGAAGATACTACGGGAGGTCTACATGAGTTACAACCAGGACAAAATTCTTCATAAGAAGCAGAAATGTGGATTGGTACAGGAGAATGCTAAAATGCGAGAAGTGAAAAAGAGACAAACAGGAGTAGGACCTCCGCATTAAAGTATCCTCAATAATGGATACAAGTTTTTTTATAACACCAACCTTCAACATCTCCCAAAAATAAGCGAAACGTCTTTTTATTCTTCCCCAGTACCACATCTTCTTCTTTCTAAGTTCTATGTATAAAAACCAACCAGTATGAAAGTCTGATAACCCATATATCGGTCTTGAAAATTGCTGGCCCTCATTAGAACCTTCCTAAAGCTCAGAATTTGATCTTAAAACTGTAAAATCTTCTTCTCTGGTAAAAAATCACCGTAAACAAACGTATAAGCAACAATATTAAAAGTGTACACATTTTTTTCAAGAGTTACCAACGTGCATTTCGTAACAGAAACTGTACGCTTCTTTTCCTCTATTAATGCCATAGCGCTTTCACAAAACTTTCGAACATCCTTCTCACCCAACGCTGCAAATTGATTGAAAAGGGAGCTAATCAAGTAATTTCCTATGAAACATAGCTGGGGTAAAAAGTTAAAATATCACGGTAATAAGAAAAAAGGCGAATATTGCAAAATTCTCAAATGCTGTCTTTGATGTTAGCAATAAAGACTTGATCCCGTCAATAGGGCAAATAGAGCAACGAATTTTGTAAACCAGTATTTTAAACTTCGATTTAAGAAAAATCGACTTACAAAAAACTTCTGGGACCAAGGACAAAAGAGATCTGTTGTTATCACCACCAGGAAATACACCAATAGGCAACGGTGCAATATCATATTTTTTAAAAATGCCAGATAAAGCACAAGATAGCGTCCCGTCTCCACCAACAATATAGAGGGCATCTGCCTCAGTCTTGTCAATTTCTGCAGCAAGGTTTTCCAACTGTACCTCACTCTCCGTCTTCAATATAAATTGCATTAAATTGACAGTATTAACCTATAAGTATAATATTCAAAAGACGATAGCAGAAAGAAATTACCCGCATTACAGTCACTTCAAGGCCCCCAAGATGCAACAGTGGTAAAGCATTGGTTGCAAATTTTTCAAACACTCGGCCATTATTTGCATATATATTGGCCAGTACAGTAACACGCCGAGGCCTCTCTTCTGACGACAATGATTCTCGTCCATATTTTACTGCCTGTCGCGCATAAAAGGCCCTCACGTCACCCTGTCTTAAAACAGTCAAAGAGAGCCTTCGACATTGTAACTTCAAACAATACATAATTAAGTACTTTGACAGTGAATGAAAATAAAGAAATCATTTTTATGCGGCTTTTTAGAAAGATACCTTTTCAAGCCATACATATATCTCCCAAAAAAGAACAGAGCAACAGCGCCAGCCGCGCTTTTTTTCTTGTGGTTCCATAACGTATTGCCAACCTTTACCACGTTTTTAAAAACCATCTAAAAGTGGTGACACTGAAATCAGTACCTTAAAGAAGATCCACTTGGAACCCTGCAACACCAAGAATTTTTCCCTCACCACGTTCTGGTCGGTAGATATCTATAAACACCTAACCTAAAACACTCCCTGGACACTGTAAACCCAACAGCACAAGAAACAAACTTCTTGAAGCAAAAAATGAAATACAAATTCAGTTGTACTTAACTGCTAGCTCACTTACCAGAAAACAATCCTTTTCAATTCGAGAAATTAAAATGAATAACACACCATTGACAAAATAAAAATAAAGCTATTCCTCACTCAAATCTCAACTAGTGTAATAATGAACCAAAAATTTCTGTGCTCATTTTAGCATCACCTATCTCTTACTCTTGACAAAATTCAATAACTTATTTCAGACAGCTATTACATATACAGCACAAGGCAAAAGAGGATTCCAATTCTTTTTATTCCGTCTACCGTCAATGAACGTTCAGGAAACAATATACACAATTAAATTAAAAGGAAAAAACTGCTAAAAACTGCAGTGTTATATTACCCGTACAATAAAAAACATAATAAGATCTTAGAAATTGCTTTTCAAACAATATTCTGACACAACATCAATTTTCGAATAGAATTGTTAGTTTATAAATATTTTTGCTCACAATACGACACTACTAAAAACAAACTGAAAACGTAAGAGTTAGCATTCAGATAAACTTTCTCAGAGCAAAAACAAAAGAAAGTTTTAACCAGCTTGCCAAAAAACGTTTGCAAAATCCGCAACACATTTTGCAACGTGTGAAAGAGATCTACAAGAGCTGCAACAACATTCATATTGAAAAGCACTCAATTATGCGTTAGATTAAAAGCAAAATCTCATCAATAACTACCAAATTGCCAAATTTAAAACGACATAAAAAATATGTGAGCTTTAAATTAGTAGAGACCTAAATTTCAGAATGAAATCATTTTGAATAATTTCCACTAGAAAGAACCGTTTGGGCTCACACAAAAAACTGATTACTGGGAATACGCTGAAACGAGCCGTAGGTGAAAACTGACTGTTTCCTTCAGTTATATCAAACAGAATCAGTAAGCTCTATTATTAAAGACGAAGGTGAATAGTAAACAGCACCAACTAGAACAGAACTAATATACAGATCACCTCGTTACCCCTGCTTTACCTTGTTTAGCATAAGTCTCATGCAGGCACTCGAATCTTCTTTAGAATCATGACCGGCCACTAGAAGGACCAAATTTAAACCATTTAAAATATGAAAACTGTGCAGAATTAAGCGCATAAAATCTTATGCAACTCAAAATTGGAATACTTAAAATCAAACTGACCATCTTCTTGAATAATCAACTGCAAGACTTCAGCAGCTATCGTTTTTAATGCACGTTTATAAGGTGGTCCCAAACGATGTGGAAAAACCACTGAAGTGTCAACTACTTTCCGGTGTACTAATCTCATGGCTTTTAAATCGCTTTCCAGACTGTGGCCGATTAGTATAGTTTCAGCATTTACTAGTTCAAAAAGCCGCTCTTGCGCCTACAAAGCAAAAACATCTATTACTGAGGCTGCAATTTGCAGTGTAAAACTGTCCGAGAAAAAGAAAGGCCCCAACAGACCACCCAAGTAAAAATAACAATAGTTTTACATAATGCATCTTCCAATAATAGTTTCAAAAGTACCTTTTCAAAACTGTATTCTGCTTTTTCCAACTGTTCTTTCGTTAACCCGCTAAACCTTGTATTACAATCGACAATTGGATATCGTGGCCGAACAAGGATGTCCAGTGCCAACTCATCCTTGATATCAACGACAGAAATTCTTGCTAAACAAAGACCCCTGGTGGTATAAACCATTTCACAGTCTAAGGCATAAACTCGACGACTTCGTGGGTCAGACTTCCCAGTGGGCGGCGGAGTCTGCAAGGACAACAGTTTGAAACAAAGAGAGGACGAAACAAAGCAGTCAAAAGATACCTCGGTAAAAGCTTGAAGCTCTGATATACAAGCACTATCTGTCACGTGATAATCAGCAACACAACATCCTTTGACACTCAGATCGGAACTACAGCAACTGTACCGTGACTCCCAGGTGCCCTGTGCTAAACTAACTCGATTGAAAATTTGGAACTCAAATCAATAATAACTGAAAGAAGTAACAAAATTCGCTCAAAAAACAAGAAACCCTACATCACTAAATCGAACCGGAAGACTACAAAAATAGAAACAGATAAGCAGAAAACTCTTAAGATTTGAACTGATTGAGAATAAAATAATAGATCAATGAGTACTTCTTGTTTTAAACGCCCGTCCCCAGTGGTAAACACACTGCTCCACAGAATCATACTCTAATTCCGGAGTAAGACGAAATTCAGCACCGCAACGACAACAAATCCTTTTCAGGTCTTAAAAAGACCAAAATAACGTTCAATAGATTACATTCAGAAGATTGTAAAAGATACTAGAAAATTACGCAAAAATAAAAATGTTTAACTTTACCATTAGCGAGAACAAACATTTTCTTCCTAGCATCGCGCTCGCTAGCAGTAATCCTAACAGTTTTTTTTTCGTCGTTGGTCCACAGAGGAAAACCATTTTTTTCCAGCTGTTCTTCCGAGAGAAGGTATCTTTCATTCAATGCATCATAAAAACTACTAAAACAATCACATCGTGGAGTTAAATATTAACAGAAAATGACAAGACTAAACAAACAACCTATACTTTTCCAAAGCCAAATATGACAAAAATAACCTACCTCTCTGATAGAGGTCGATCAACTGAAGCCACATGTTTCCTCTTACCGACTGTGATTAAACCATGATGTTTCCCTTCGAGAACAGCGGCATGCGAAACTGACTTCGCTAAAATATTCAAGATTTCAGAAGACAGACTGTATATGTCAGTAAACAATACCGCTCAGTATCTGACTTCTAAGATTTTTAAAGTAACGACTGACTCTCGCTACTTAATGGCGCTCCTTTGGTAGCCTCACGTAACCGACGTAAAACATTCACTGCAGAGCAAGTGTAGCCACCCTTCGTAACCGCTTTATCTTTTAAAACCTTTTCTTCTTGTTGTGCCTTGAAGACGAAAAAACAGTTGATAGTGAATGTAATTCTCAAATTACAATCAAAAATAATAACAAAAGCTTACTTGAACTAAAGCCTCTGCAGGTGAATCTGTGATTTTACGAAATTCGTCGTAAAACATCTGAAGGTAACGCATACGTAAGGTATATGGGACCTTCCCGGTCGAAAATGGATCCAAAGGAATCAACTTGTCGCTTCCAAACTTGGATGACTGCAAACTGGAGCATCATTTCAAATAACTGTTGGAAAAATAAATTATTTATGGACACATACACTAGCAGTATGAGCAACGCGTTTCTCGCCTTTGGGAAGACTTCCACTACCCGTAGGTTTGCTTTTAAAATCATCCTCCACAGATTTCGAAGATTTTCCTGACTGAGCAGTTTTCTCCTGAACTCTGGAATAATGCAGATGCAGTTAAAAACAATACCGAAGTTCTACAAACAGACGAACTTTTAAATTACTTTTTCATAATTTCTTCCTTCTCTTTCTGCAGCCTCTCGTACCGATACACTAGTTGTTGTGCCACATTCGGCACATGCTTCTTTGTTGTATTTAGGCGTTGAAAATACGACTGAAAAGCACGAAAAAAAATTAGATACGAAATAGAATACACAAGACAGTTCTAATGCGAACAATTCAGCAACAGCAACAGCAACAAAAAATAAAACAAAAAAAGCAAATTTGCTTCAAACACACACAGGTAAAAGTGGAAAGAAACCTGAGATGATGGCGCTAGTGCAATTCTTTTTTTACCCGAAGTGTTTTGCTCAGCAGAAACTTTACTTCCTGTAGCACTTTTCGTCCTTAAATCCAATTTGGTTGAAGTATCCGCTTTCTCACTGCTCACCAATTTCGAAGAACGCTCAGCATCTTTAGTCCAAACATAATTTTGTTTCGTTTTCACATCTTGCTCTTGAGTAGCTACTCTAGGCTTCTTTTCAGGAGGTTGCTAAAACAGCAACGAACATTACGTAATAAAATTCGGTTGCTTACAACGTTCAAGAATAAAATTACACACCAACGAGCAAATAAATCACAGATAAACCTCATCAAATAAATCCTCAATAGAAAGACGTTTTTCTAATTCCTCTTTTGGTTTACCACTCTTGACTTTAGGTGGGAGGCTTCCATCTTCCGTTACATCCGACAGTGCCTTATTCTTCTTCTCCGCTTTAGACTTTAAAACTGCAATAGGGGTAGGCGTATAACCACCTGCATAAGCAGGTAATCTGGAAGTGGTACTGGACTGTTTCTTTTGATCTTTCTGAAACAAATTATTGAACACATGTTCTAGCAGAGTAACGAATGAATGAAAGAGCAGGACGGGAAAAAAGAGAGCCTTACAGCAGCAAAGTAACTTCAGAAGAAACTTACAGAAGTGCATTTTTTTGAAGGCACATAATCCACACCATTCTTTGCTTTAGCTTTAAATTCACTAATCATTTTTTCTTTTTCTCTTTTTTGTTTTTCAAGAGCCCTTTGCAACTCCTCAATGCGTGTATCGAGGACAGCAACGGACTTCACGTAGTCATGCAGCTTCATCTCCTTCTTTGGACAAGGAGTCTACAAATCACATTAAACTAAAACAGTAAAAAAAGCGGAAACGAAGTAAGAAGAAAATAAAATATTTCCACTTCAGCTGATCACAACTTACAAAAACACATACATCTTCTTCCCTTCTTGTTTCTTTCACTTTATCCCTGCTGGGATCTAGGATGTCATCAACGGCTAGTTCAACTGGCAACTTTGGTTTTGATACTGATTCAACTGGCGTCGTAATCCTTTTTCTCGGCCGTTCTTTACTAGTTGAGGGGCTACTTTCAACCAAACCTAGAGTCGGAGGGCAACTGTGACGCCTCGAAAAAGCATCGGCAATCCAAAACTGATAAGAGCAAACCTCTGTACATTGTTTCGGATGGAGCTGCAGAGCTTGTTGATGCGATTGACCCAACATACCCGTTGGTCGTTGCCGGGTAAGACACAAAGCCATTGACTACTTGCGACGCCTCGCTGCCAACATATCCTACGTATCCCATAAACATTGATCCCGATGGAGTGGTAGAAGAGCTAGCTGAATACGATCCAGGATTCCAAACAGCTTCATCTATATGACAACAAAGTAAACAAGAATAGGTCTGTTCAGAAAATATTAAAGACATAAAAAGTATAGACTGGTGCAACCGGCAAAATTACAAGGCAATATAACCTTAAAGATATTTATAATATGAATTTTGCGTATCAGAAAAAGATAAGTTTCAGACGAGTAAATGTCGTTCAACATCAAAATATTTCGGAATGTAGTCTCAGAATTCACTTAATACTATCGTTTGAAATTAGTAATCAAATAGCAGCAACCTTTTGAGTGCCAAAAGTGACAATACGGACGTGAGCACCCTTGTTCATCAAATGGACAAACAATATCCGCGAAATGTTCCGATCGTCCAATCATCGAGTAATCAGTGGCAGGTAATAGTGATTTATCACCATTCGAAATCCAGATTTGTAACTCACAGACACTTCTATGAAGATTAAAACCAAAATTAAAAAGAAAACAAATAAATAAATCAAAAATTTTTTCGTATTTATTGCAAATGCTTTTCAGGAAAGAATCACTAAATGAAAAAAAATACGATAAAGAAAAAAAAAAGAAAAAATAAATAAATTTTTGTGAAAAAAAAAACAGAAAGGATTACTTTTTCAAAAAATTTTCTAGTAATAGACAACAAAGGCCGAAAAAAAAAGGGAGAGAAAAAAAATAAAAATACAAACAATTCTTTGACAGAATTAGTCGACTAGTCGACAATTTTGTTGCTTACACCCGTTATCACTTGATGTTTTATAACAGTTCGATATCTATAACCGTTATGTGTTATACAACTGCCTTGTTGAGCACTACCGGACAATCAACATCTAAGAACTGCTACAATGAGGCTCCTGGAACCTCACTTTTTAACTTGGATACATTCCCAGCAATAGCTGTAGCACTGGCAGTAGCATCAAAATCCTTTCTTTCTTCTTCTCCTTCTTCTTCCTATCCGTTTCTTCCTCTTCCTTAATCAAACAGGTGAACTTTACTAAACATCACGAAATGCTAAGCAACTTCCTACAGATAGATATCTCTGTATATATACTCTCTGCGTGCCGAAACAGCACTACAAACTCCGCCCACACTTCCAAAATCTTTTGGCAATAGACGTTGCGGGAAACGAACAGCATAAACAGTTGTTTGCCAAAAGATCTCATCGATGAGTACAGAGTGGCCTAATTTTTACTCTTCAGGAAATTGCTGGTTTTTTTTCAATGCCATTTCTAACTGGTTGATAGCTTAATGAATTAGAATAAACAACTAGGGCAACTTATTAGAATACTAAATGATATAAGAAGCAACCAGATAGTTTAAAAAAATCGGGAAGAATTATCAGTAGTAAATGATATAAATTTTATAGTTTTCAAGATTTTTAATAAGAATTGGTGCATACGAGACGAGAAAAATAACATTTGTAGTATCATAACTGTACAGCTCATTATTTAATATGAACAACAAATAATACTATCACCAGCAAAAATTTATTCCTTAAAGTTTGTTAATGAAGAACATGCAAATTAATTAATTTAAACCACTAACATACTTATTAGAGAAGAGAACCGTAAAGGAATAGGTGTAAACCTAATAAATCTACTTAAACTACGAACTAACATTCAGAAGTGATCTAGGCAAAGGCAAAACACCAATTAACCACTTGTTGAAAATTACTCTACATACGTTAATACTCAGACAGCAGTCGTAATTTGTCCTGCTAAATGTCTGCTTAATGGTTAGGATTCCACAACATAAAAATAAACCTCTAGACCCTAACAAAAGCTTATATTACTAACAAAATAACAATAAAACGTAAAAATATGAGCAAAGCTTTGTTCCAACAGAGCATCTTTCAAACGTCCTATGATAACTAAATCGTGATTAAGAGTCACGTATAAGGCACTTTCGAAATGATTGCTCAACTGATCACAAGAATAATATTCATTAAAACGAACAACTTGGGAGATGTATTAAATTTCGAAACGCGAATAATGAACTTTGATAATCACTCTCCTCAAATTTACGTAATTACGGTTGGCGCAACACGACCAGTGAACTGTTCCATCTTTGACATATTTAAAGCAACCAATACTAACGGTTTCAGTAACTCCTGCAATTCAGAAACTGAAAAAAATGGTACTACTTTAGATCAGTATGCTGTGCAAAAATAAATGAGGCACAGCAACTGAAAATAGAACTTAGGATGGTAATTAAACCGCTGTATGAACACTTCTGAATGATAAAGTCAGAAAACCTGGAAACTCTGGTTAAGAATGGAGTAATTAACATAGCAGTTAAAAGGGCTCCGTACGTTTAGAATTTCAGTAGCTAACAAATTATAACCTGAGCAGGTAAATACAAGCGGTTTTTATCCGTTGCAGGAATATATGAATCAACATATAAACGGATTGTTGCTCCGGCAGATCCAGTCCCGCTGAGACGGAATACAACGCGACTACCGTCAGTAAAAATTAAACGGAGACCCTAAACTCAACAAAATCACAAAAATTTTACCGGAAAGTTTTTGCGTTAAAATAGTGATGGAGGAAGGCAAAATATTAAAGAAAATATTACTAAGACTTAGCTAAGAATTATCGAAATGAAAAGTACCTGCTTCTTGCTGACCGAATGGTCTATGGGATCATGGTACTCAAAATTATCCGCTTTTTGAACAGTAAAGTCAACACTGTTAGCTGAAAACTTTTGGTTGATAAAAGCCGGCATTTGTGATTCAACGTACGACATTAAAAGGTTTGCGCCACCAGCATCGACATTTTCATAGTCATATCTAAAACCAAAAATGGCAATCGATTCTAAACTGGTACTAAATATAAATAACAAATATCTTAAAAACCTCACCTTGTAAAAACATTACGACCATATTTAGCCCAATGTTCTTTAACTATTTCTTCAACAGATTGCTTCTTATCTGCTAATATTTGCATCCAAGCCAGGGCTGCCCATATGCCATCCTTTTCTCTGGAACGTAATCATATAGGACCGAATATCTACTTTTGCTAGGCAGTAGTAAGTCAGCAAGAAATAGCAAAAATAAGCCCCACCGAATGTGATCAGATCCAGTGCCAAACGATTCTTCACCACAGAGGGATAATTTTCCAGCATCCATAAGATTTCCAAAGAACTTCCAACCTGTCGGTACCTCAAACATGGGCAAATTCTTTTCAGCCGCGACCCTATCAACAGCACCTGCCGTTGGCATGCTCCTTGCACATCCTAAAAGTGAAACAAATCAACAAGTTAACAATTTTGCTAACGCTAATATGCATCAAGAAAGTTACACGAGTAATTACCATGAATCCCATGCTTTTGGAAGTACGGAATACAGTTCAAATTGGCAGCAATTACAGCAAGAGAATCACTAGGAGTTACAAAAAACGCATTTTTACCGAGAATCATGTTCCTATCCTAAAAAGCCTACTGAAAGAATGAGGTTTTAAGGTAGAAAAAACACTGAAAAACCCCGTTAATTTATTCAAAAGCTTAAGTTGAATTTAATCAAAATACGGACTCCGTCTCCATCAAATGCTGCTCCAAAATCGTGATCTCCTTTAGCCATGGCATCGACTAGATGGTGTGCGTAAGTTAAGTTAGGGTCTGGATGACCCCCTCCGAAATCCGGTTTTGGAGTCGTGTGCAAAAGCTCATTCTTATCTGCTTTCAATTTATCGCCAAAGATTGCAGAAACATAAGGGCCAGTTGCACCATATAAACTGTCAATTTGAATGTGGAAAGGCCTTCCCAACAATTCGCCGGATATGAGCTTTTGTATCTTGAATTAGAAGAAATTTGGTTAGATTCGATGTTATAAGAATCTTAGTTCTAACGGCAACCGAAAAAAAAAATGAAACCTTCGAAAAATCGAATATTTCTTCCATAAGTTCGACGTAGTCGTGGACAGAATCAATGACATCCACAGTGAAAAGACCGTGACCTTCAATCTGGAAGTCATACTTCCCAATGCGAGAGAAGTCGACATGTAAATCTTTACATATAAAGTACTTTGAAATTGAGGAGCTCAGTTGGAATATTGCCTCTGTGACCTGAAATTTCAGTTACTGACTCTAAGCAAAAGTAAAGTAAATCCTCAAGAACGGAGATCAGGGGTCGCTACAGAGTATAGAACACTGAACGATATGAATCACACTATCAAGTACTTTTTCGGGTGCTGGTCCACCATTTTCGCAATTAAATTTGATACCAAAATCTGCTTTTGGTCCTCCTGGATTATGACTTGCAGTAAGTATTATTCCACCATCGATTGCATTTCCTTCTAAAATAAAATAATATTTTCTTTCAAGAATGATTAGCAATATTAGTATTTTCAGTATTACTTCCCGTTAATTTTGGGCTTTCTAATGAGACAAGATACCGCCGGCGTACTGAAAAAACCGTTCTGACCAACGAATAACTTTCGGACCTGAATGAGAAAGTTTAAGTCTTGCATCCTGACGTCTAGCCGTTTAAGACATCATTCACTAATTTAATTCTGTCACTTTTAATGACAAGTCAATTATTTAAACAACACCCGTTTTACACAACTTTTCTGCAAAAAGTCTTCTAAAATTACAGACGGTAAAAATTTAAAAAACAGGAACTAAAATCACAACAAAAAAACTCAGCAATACCCCATTTGCTGCAGACATCTGAATTATCAAATTAACTGTTTCAGGGCAAAGATATCGTCCATCACCACCAACAACAAGAACAGCGCCCTTCTTTTTATTGCCCAAACCTCCATCTAAAGTGCACTGAATAAAATTTTCTGTATAGTTTTCTTGCTGAAACTCTGGAACCTGAAATAGTTGGAATAAACAGGCTAAAGTAACAAGATACATTCAATGTACAATCAAATTTAAATCAGCGAACAACATTAAAAAAATACCCTTTTCCTCAGTCCACTTGTCCCAGGTTTTTGGCCACTGTAGGGTTTTGTAGTAACCTCAGAAACCTTGTAAACCTCACCCATTTGAGCTGGAACTTAGTTCATACAATAACCTAAACCAACAAGAAGTTAAATGGTTTAACAAAAAAGAAAAAAGAAACATAAAGTGGTAAAGCAAACCAAAATGTCACGTGATATAAATTCAACATCAATTATCTAAACAATGGGGATGAGACCAATGAAATAAGATGGAACTGTGATAGAGGAGAATTAGTACGGAAAGACAATTAATATTGTAAAAAGCTAATAGAAAAGCAAAATAAGTTGCAAACGCTAAATACTCATAAACTGTTTGCTTTGTTAATAAAAAAATTTTGTTTTCTTAAAAATGTGTATCAAATTCCTGAGATAAAAATAAAATAATAATAATAATAGTATACAAATTAATGTCAATAAGAAAACAATAGTAGCAGCAGCAGCAGCAACAGTTGCAACGGCATCAGTTTCTGTGAATTCAACCAAAGAAAAGGAAAGCAAAGGAAAAAAACCCTGCTGATACATGCAATTCTGTTTTCGCTTCTATTCAAAAATGCAAAAATTAAAGGAAAATAATTTACAGAAGCAAAACTGATGCTAAAAATGTATAAATATTAAAACCTGACGAGAGACAATGTATTGTACAGTTTAAACTTCCTTCACTGTTCCTACCACTTGTGAATGCAGAGTCCTCATCAAATGCTTGCTAAACCTCTTTTACAACACCAAAGCTGTCTGTAATGACGCAATTGATAATCGAACATATTATTTGCATTGCAGACAAAATAAAAGAGCAAAAATAATAAAAAAAAAATTATAATAATAAAATAAAAAAGCTGGAAAATGTTTCTTTCCTTCATTAATAGACAAATCAGCAAAAAAATTTAGAAATAAAATAACAAAGAATTCCCTTTTTTTCTGTTGTTTTTTTCCCCTTGTTTTTCACATTTGTATTCATTGCAGACAGGCAAAATCAAAACACAAATTTGCCCTTCAACAACAACAACAACAACAACAACAACAACAACAACAAAAAGTAACAACAACATCAACAACAACAACAGTAAAACAACAATGAAGATTCTAAGACTGTCGTTGTCTAACAAAAACCGTCTAAACAAACCATTTTATTGGTTGACTAACTGACTAACTAACTGAGTTACTGACTAACTGAATAACTAAACAATTCACTGCTTAGCTGACTGCATTAGCGATGAGTGGTGATAACTGAAAGAATGGAACTGCAAAGGCGGCAATGGCAAAAATGCGGGAAGCCGTTAGCCAATCACCTAAAGCTA